TTTAGCTCAGGCCGGTGGACGGGGGCTGGGGATCTCCCTTCTGTTTAAACCCTGAACCCTAAACCCTCCTCTCTTTTCTTTTTTTTTTTTTTCTGCGCCTGGGGGACGTGGTTGCGCCGCCTCTTGCCCCGAAAAGTCAAGGTTGCATCCGTCGCAGGGCATCCGGACACTTCCTTCCGTGAGGTCGAGGTATCCGTGACCGGCATTGACTACTGCTGTGGGAGGATTGACTGTTAGCTTTCCCTACCATTGATTTCGTTTCAGACCATCTGCTGGCTCTCTCGGGTTGGTCGTCCGGCCTAACAGACCCGGTAGAGATGTGTGTAAAATCGTGCTTGGCCTAAAACCTCTCGAGTGAGTTGTTTGAAGTGACGTTTTCCTGCTTCGTTGTTCCACTGCTGTGTGGGTTTTCTGTGGTTCCGTTAACTGGTCTGCTTTCGCAGCCGGCTGCTGCGTGGGGTTTCTTGGTGTTGGTCACGGGTGGGGATGGGGTGGTCCGCCGATTTTAAGTCCCACACCCGTTTCGTTTAGTCGAATCGGAATGCTCGACTTTTTTTGTTTTTTTTTTGTTTATGTGAATCCAGGCCATGAGTTTTCCTGTATCCGAGTCAATTTCTCGCGGGTCTTTTCCTTGGGCCATTTCGATTTTTTTAATAATTTTTCCCTCTTCTGAGTTGTGGGCTGTGCCAAGTGAATCAGGGGAGTCGCTTTGTCCTTCGTTTTTCTTGCTGGGCTGCGTGTCTTACTTTCGGGGTCCCAAGGGTGTTTGTCATCGTCGGTTTTGTGGACCCCCTTGGCTCTTCGAATGCCCGAGTCCACCCGTTTCATGTTATCGGAACGCTTCTGCCAGATCGAGGGAGGTACAAGAGCTTTTACAGTTCGGGCTCCGAAATAAGGGCCCAACGCCAAGAGGCCCAGTCGCCCAGAGCTTGAAGTTGTGAATCGGCATTCCCAAAGACAGCTTCCCTGGGCAAATGTCGTCTCCGGACTAAAATGGAAAGTCGTTCTGTAAAAGTCACATCGAGTTACTAAGCGAACAGTCAAAATCGAGGCTGACTGACGGTCACTTCCTCGAATCTCATGGTCAAAGGTCAAAGGCCCAGTTAAGTCTCAGTCCCATTGGTCAAGTCACAGCAGAAGTCCAACATCCTGCCCCGACGTACTGCTGCTCACATTTCGGTCCGACAGGAAGTAGGCATGCGGTCCCGGGTACATTGTGACCAGATGCTGGACCACTGCAGCACTATTTAAGTGTTGACCTGGGCTGGTTCCTCATTCGGTGTCGTGCACCCTTCGTGCATTTCCGCGCCGCACGTGAGGCCGAGGAGGGACGCTGTAGTCGCAGTGTTGGCCGAGGAGGGACGCTGTAGTCGCAGTGTTGGCGGACGAGGGAGGCTGTAGTCGCGGTGTTGGCCGAGGGACGCTGTAGTCGCAGTGTTGGCCGAGTACCTGCGCTGTTGGAACGGCGCCAGTCATACACAGACGATAGAGATAGAGATAGATAGATAGATAGAGAGAGAGAGAGAGAGAGAGAGAGAGAGAGGAGAAGTTCGGCCATAGCTGCCCGCTGAGCCCTCCGGGATACGTGCGCTTCTGCAGCTGGTTTTCGATTTGTTCGGTGCAGGACGATCCCTCCATTTCTTTGCTCAGCTTCGGTCTCCATCACCACGTCTGCTTCTTCTGCCACTTGCTACTCTACCCTCACGCTAAAATGTCTCCGAAGAATCGCGGTGCTGCCAAGGATCCTCACCCTTTGCTTGCTAAGTCTATCGAGGAGGAGGAATCTGTACGTTGGCGGATAGCCGAACTCAACGAGAAGCTGGTTAAGCTTCGCTCCCGTGGCTACGACGACACAGACGTCCGATGGTTGCGTGTGGAGGAAAAGATTGACGAGGCTGAAGAAAAACGTCAGCGAGCCGCAAGCAGAGCTGAGAGGATGCGCAACATCATTGATGCCGGTGATATTTATAGCGATGCAGATTATCGTAGTGGAGATGAATGGATAGAAGAGCAAGAAGAGGCATCAGACTCTACCGATCCAGAGGAGATGGTTACTGACTACGATGTGAGCGACCTGGAAGCAGCGGTGGATACTGACTACGCTGACGCTGACGATGACACAGATGATGACAACTCTTCCTCCGACGATTCCACAGAGGAAGGAGATGGATCCACCAATGTCTGACCCTTTCGTCCCCACTCTCACATGCGTTGACCAGATGCTTGCCCGACCAGTCCAGTGCAGCACTATTTAAGCGTTGACCTGGGCTGGTTGGCCATTCACTCTTCTGCACCGTTCCTGGTTCTTGCGGTGCGCGTGAGGCCGACGGACGCTGTACTTGCAGTTTTCACCGATGATCGACGCTGTAGACGCGGTGTTGGAACGTTGCCAGTGATACAGAGAGGAGAGAGGGAGATGGAGTAGGGAGATGATGACACTGCCATTCGTGGTGGGCGTGGATGACGACAATGAGAGTATGAGGAGAGGAGAGGGAGAAAGAGAGGGAGAGGTGAGACAGAGAGAGACAGAGGGAGATAGGTTGAGAGAGTGAGAGAGAGGTTGAGAGAGAGAGAGAGAGAGAGAGAGAGAGAGAGAGAGAGAGCTGAGGGCGGTGTCACCGGTCAACATAAGTCGACTTGTGGTTAATCCAATCGCTGAAATTGAATATGTAGATTGCGTGTGTTGCCGGTCTTACTGCTTAGTTTAGCGATTCTGTTTTCTACTCTTTGTCGGTGACGATGATAATGTTCTTTGAATCCTTGAAGAGTAGTTGCGCGTGTATGCCAACTCATTGCGAGGCCCCCTTTGTACCCCGATGACAATGCTTTTGGTTCCGCACAACGATTAGGATTACGGATCCCGTTGTGCACTGCCTTTGGCCGATTGATATGGACTGCCCTTGCATTACATGACTGGTACTCCGAGATTGCACTTGGGGAGGGAGAAAGAAGGAGAGGTAGATACCNAGGGAGACAGGGAATTTCACGTGTGGGCTCTGTAATCGGTTACGTTACATGAACCGTTCTTCGTTTGATCGATAAAATTGAGTTTCTCTAATGGCTTTGTCCGCGTGTTTCTCGCTATGAAACGGCTGTGATGTTGTGTTTGGTTTTTGTTAGTTCGGATGCTGGTGTTGATGATTTCAGAGAACGACGATCATGATCTCAAAACGTTAAAGATGGAAAAAAAAAAAAAAAAAAAACAGTGAAAGAAAGCTAAGATAGCAACAAAAAATGTCAAACATCACGGTCAGAGACAGAAAGAAGGAAGTGAGATTCTTCATTGGGGTTGCTTCCTCACTGTTTGTGACCATTCCTGTTTACTATTCTGCTTTCCACAAACACTTAGAAAGACAGAAGACGCGAAGAGCTAAAACCATGATACATAAAGCGCCAGCCATACACTAACAAAGAAAGCGTAGAGTGAGAGACAGAAAGAGCGAAGTGAGATTCTTCATTGGGGTTGCTTCCTGACGGTGTTCGCGGGCGCACTTTCTGTAACGCTGGGCACACTTTTCCCAGATTGCCATGTTATGTCCCGTTTTCGAAAAAAAAAGAAGGATGCTGTCTTTGACAGAGGTCCTTTGTGTTCCTGGACTATTCTACTGTTAAGCGTCATTCTATTGCGATTTCTTTTCCGTCGGGGGTGAATTGCATGCACCTGTTTCCCACGGCTCTTTTCTGATACTCGCAACATGTTGCTGTCGTGAACTGTGCTGGCCGCTGTGCCTCGTGGAAATAAATCGAAAAATTCGACAGCCCGACGCCGGTGCCCGTGTGTCCTCCTGGGTCGTCATCGCTCATGGTTTTCTCGCCATCACCACGTCTGGTCTACACTGTGTCTACAGTAAACGCTGTCTTCTCTGACCTGTGCACCTCTCTGCTGTTTGTTTCTCKSTATTGTTCTCTGCTGTGTATTGCACTGTCTTCTCTGACCTGTGCAGCTCTCTACTCTCTGTTTCTCTGTATTGTTCTCTGCTCTGAGCTACTCGCGTCTCTCATATCCCCTGAATGGAATTACTTCGCGTGACCCTTTTCTCCGCGGGCTCTGTTACCGGTCACGTTAGATCAAGTGTTCTTCGTTTGATCTATAGAAATGATTTTGTCTAATGCCTTTCTCCGCGGTTTTCTCGCAATGAAACGGCTGTGGTGTTGTTTTTTTTTTTTCCAGTTGCGATGGTGATGTTGGTGATATCCGATAACGACGATGATCGTGATGTGCAAACGTTAGAAACCGGAAAAAAAAAAAAAAAACACAGTGAAAGAAATGTAAGATAGGACCAAACAATGTTAAATATTAACCTCACACAGACAAACATGTGCGATTCTTCATTGGGCCTGCTTCCTCATGATGTTCGCGGGCGCAAGCTGCGCTGGCTGCACCTGCTTGCTTTTTTTAATTTCTTTATTGGCCCGCCGCAGGTCGTGGGTCACTCTGGTCCTCATTCGGCGAATGGGTAAAAATCAAAAATAAAATAAAAAAATCCCTCATCCAAATAGGTAGAAGCAAAGCGAGGAAAGAAAAGACACAAACAGAGAGAGATAAGAAAAAAGAAAGGGTAAAAAAAAAAAAAAAAGCAAAGGTAGGGGAAAATTAACGTGCTAGTAGTGATGCATATATATCAGAGAGGGAGAAGAGGACAACAAACGAGGGGCTGAGACAGACTGTTTCGTTTGGAGGGAAAAAGGGGGAAGAGGGGAGGAGGAGGGAAAAGGGATGCTCCAAAAAGTTATAAAAATATATATAAAAATAGGCTACATGTGGTCCTCCTTCCTCTATAAAGCTTAGAAAACATACAGAACCAACACCGACTCCACGCCCCCCCCCCCCCCCCCCCCCCCCGGAAGGCCCTAATTTGAGGTTCCTGGTCCCCTCACGGCGGTGTGAGGCTGTCAAGGGTATTGATTGGTTTGATCGGATTTGAATCTGATTTGATTTGATTGGATGTGGCTTGATTGGGTTTGATTTGATTTGATTTGGATTTGGATTGGATTGGGTTTGATTTGATTGGATTGGATTGGATTGGATTGGATTTGATTTGATTGTATTCTTCCATGCCGATAAGAGAGCTTAACTGAGTTGGTACACCTATAAACTGTTGAAATGCAGACCTGCGTTCGAATCCAGATGGAACCAGATGAAGGAAATTCCTGAATTACCTGTGGCCGGTCAGATATAACAGGGCTTCCGCCCTTTTTTTTCAATGAAGTCACACTAGCAGCAGATATGGTCTAATCCCATAGATGGTATCTCTAGCGTCTTCAGCCGAATAGAATGCCCGATCATTATAGCTGTATTTGGGGCAACTCTCTGTCTACATGCAGCTATAACGACGAACGCCCAGTCATTATGGCTGTATTTGGGGCGACTTCCTGTCTAGGTGCACAGCTACAACGACCTGGGGGGCGTTCTATTCGGGTGAAGACGGTAGCCAGACAGATCTTGTCGTGCAGATTAATCGGAATCAACGTGGCGATCCGAAGAGGATCGTCGATTTAATGACGTGATTGATTCATTAGATTACATTAGATTTGATTATTTAAAATTACCATGTGCTGAGCTGTAAGAGGATCGTTGATTTTAATGACATGATTGATTGATTAAATTAGATTTAGATTTAGATTTAGATTTAGATTTAGATTTAGATTTAGATATAAGATTAGATGCGATTCGATTCGATTCGATTTGAATTGATTGGTTGACTGTGTTTTGGGACTTTCGCCGCTTTTGCAGATGACGACCTCGGCACTTTCCGCTTTCGGGTGGGACTTAGCGGATCTGCGGGACACATGGCAATTCGTGGACCGTTGATTACCTCATCATGTCCATCGCCGCAGTTGCCACCTACGGCCTTCACATTGGTAAGCTTTATCTTGTTTCGCTTTTTTTGGCTCAGTGAATTCTTTCTAACCCCCCTAAGACAAATTCCCGCCCTCTTTCCTGATTCCACCTCCCCCTACTCCGGATGCTCCTCCTCTTCCTCCGTCGCTGTCCTCTCCGTTCCTCTTCCTCGTCCTCCTCCTCCCTCCTTCTCATCCTTCCTGCCTCCTCCCTCACTCCTCCCTCAGCCCCCTCCTCCTCCTCCTCCGCTCCTTCCTCCTACTCCTGCAGCTCCCCCTCCTCTTCCTCCGTCCCTGTCCTTCTCCCTTGCTCTTCGTCATCCTCCTCCTCCTTCCTCCTCCTCCTTCCTACCTCCTCGCACATCCTCCCTCCTCCTCCTTCCTCCCTCCACCTCCTTCCTCCCTCCTCCCTAGTTCGTATTCTTATTCGGAATGTGCATCGGCCCGATGGGCACCATAAATCTGGGCGCAGAGTCGCGATCCCAGTGGATCCACCGGGCTTTGCTTTGAGGCCTCCAGAAGGTTCCGATTTACCCTACTATTAAATTTCTGAAGGGGGAAAAAGAATCAAAATTGTGCCTGAGGGTAGAGTGGCTAGCTTGCTCTGATTTGGGGGAAAAAAAAGAAAAACTACGTTCATAGGTGTTTTTGTTCACATTTTCGCCTCGGGAGACGATTCCGTCACACGCCCTCTTTATTTCTTATGTGGCAATAAATAATTAAAATTATTGGAACATATTACATGTTTGAATTTGGAATTTGTACTATTTTATAGTATTTTTGTACCTAATATTACCCACACATTTCCGTGCTGCTCCTCCTCTACGTGCCTGGTTGGTTTTCTGTCTCCTTCTTATAAAGTTGTTTTTTTTTTTTTTAATTAAAAAGAAGCTGCCAGATTTTTGCCCGCTTGCCTCTCGAGTGTACAAGGTTGTCGGCACATTTTCAAATATGACCCTAAATAAGAACGAGGGGGGCACACTTGCCCCCATTCGTTTGTACAGTGGGGTGCACGCTTGTCCTGCCTGCAAGGAAGGCTTGCAAAGGCTGCAAGTGTGCACCCTTCTTTCTTTTGCAAGGCACAAGGCCTCGATACGCCCTACTGGGCCCTATTTTCAACACAGTCGGCTGCCCTTAGTGAAGGCAGGCTCGACTGAGGCCTACAGACCATTTTTGGGGTCACCACGCAACTGGGGAAATTCAGGCAGTTGCGCAGCGCCAGTTGGTTGAGAGCGCCCAGGCCCAGGCTGCCTTTCATCGTATGCAACTGAGGCAGGCCCTGGGCTAGATACACAACATGGATCGAACAATGGCTGAGGGCGGTTGGGTGCTGGTAACCACCACAGGCCCTGGGCCTGTTGCCTTTGGACTGAGGCTGAGCCTCGTGGGGCCTACCGGAAGCTTCTGGGCCGAGGCCCAGTACTGCATTTCCGCACGCAGCAGCAGGCCACTTCGATATAGGGAAGGGCCTGCCCACGCATTGACATTCGGGCACTGGCTGCATGCTGCGCTAATGCTGGCCAGCGCTCATGCGCTCACGGGCGAGCTGGAAGGAGCAGGCAGCCATAGCCGAGCTGCGCTGCTGTATGCTGGATGGGGTGCATGGTGGTCCTTGGGTGCATGTGGCATCTGTGAGTTGGGGAACGAGGTTGTGAGTGATACGAGAGACACACCTGGTGCTTGATGCGAACGGCATTGGCCGACATCTGCTCGTACTTCGGGGAGCTGTTGACGTCATCAGCAGCATTGTAGATAGGCTAGATAGGATCTGCCATTTGTAGTCTGGGCGCTGAGCGCCAGATAGGATATCGACATTGGTTCTTCGTTGATGATGATGAGTCTATTCCAGCATTGTCAATTATGAGCTTTTGCTGTGCTCTTATTTGGTGGAACTCGTGATGCAATTCTGCTCTTGGTTCAAGGTCACGATATCTGGTTTCATGTGTATAATGCTGTTTGATTTCTGATGTTCACTATTCCTCATTTTCCTTGCACTTTATTTAGCGTCGTATATATTTGAAAATGACAGATTTGCACCTATGTACCCCTCGAGTGTGTACCCTTGGCCCCCCTCGAGTGTGTAAAGAGGGTTGTCACATTTTTCAAGGCTTGCAAAGCCTGCATGTGTGCACCCCTCTGTTCTTATTTAGGATCATATTTGATAATGTCAGATTTTTTACCCACTTGCCGCCATACTTTTCACCCACTTGGTCCCCCTCGAGTGTGTACACTTGCCACCCCCTCTCTCGAGTGTTTATAAATGCCCCCCCCCCCCCCCCCCCCCCCCCCCCCCCCCCCCGAGTGTGAACACTGGGTCCACGTGTGTGAATTAGTTTATCCCAGCGCTGCTGATGTGGATGGCCTGTCATGAACCCAGGTGATGTGTCACGCACGCTGGGTGACACGTCACTCTCAGCCTGTCTGCTGGGATCGCCTGTAGATTGTGTTGCACACCCCGCACCATTTGCCTCGTGTCGCTATGTTCTCTCTCTCTCTCTCTCTCTCTCTCTCTCTCTCTCTCTCTCTCTCTCTCTCTCTCTCTCTCTCTCTCTCTCTTACATAACATCCTTGCGCTCTTCTCTCCGTCAGCCTTCTGATGCTCTCTTTTACGTCCACGTTCTCCTTGTTCCTCCCTTATCCGTTGATCTGTGCAACCTTTTCCCTCCTTTTGTTTCCCCTTTTCTCTCCTTCACCCCCCCGCCTCGTTTCCCTCCTTTTCTTTCCTTTTCCCTCCTTTTTTGCCTCTTTTCCCTTTTTTTTTCTCCTCATGTTTTCCCTCCTTTTCCCTCCTTGGTCTTTTTCTCTGTGTTCAATTCCGGGCCGCCCGGCGGCCCAGCCTCCGTCCGGCAGGGGTCCCGGGCGGCCCGGCCGGTTGGGTCCCCCGGTTGTATGCCGGGCGGGCCCAGCGCATTTTTGCGTGGGGGGGGGAGGCCAGTTTCGACAGTTCTGGGCCTTGGGAGCCTCCCCGCCCCCCCGCACAAAATTGTTCCCGCGCGCGCTTCGAATTCGGAGCATCCCGTCGCTGCCGAGGTAGCACCGTAGCACTCCCGCCCGTCGCTGCCGAGGTACTCCCGCCCGTTGCTGCTGAGGTAGTGCTCCCGCCCATCGCTGCCGAGGTTGTACTCCCGCCCTGCCCGTCGCTGCCCTCCCCGTCGACGGCCGTTGCTGCCCGCCATCGCCGAGGTGCCCTCGTCACTGCCGCCGCCGCTGCCCGTCGTCGCTGCCCGTTGGGCAGCTCGTCCTCGCTGCCCGTCGTCGTCGAATCGGTACCGTTGCCTTGAGCCACGCGTCAGCTCTCTCTCTCTCTCTCTCTCTCTCTCTCTCTCTCTCTCTCTCTCTCTCCCTCCTCCTCCTTCGTCATCCTTTTCTTTTTCTTTATTTGTCGACGTATCAAGAAACCGCCAGATCCTTCTCCTCCTCCTCCTCCTCCTCCCTTCGTCTTCTTCTCTCCTCCTCCTCCTTTCTCCTCCTCCTCCTCCTCTTCGTTAGTTTCCTTTATCAGTCGAAGTGCCACGTCACGTGTCAGGTGAAGTTCCTCCTCCTTTCTCCTCCTCCTCCTCCT